AATACTTTCAGTGTGTTTATTAAAATAACAAGTAATTTATTAAAATGTAACAATTAACTAGTTTTTTTAAATACTTGAAAAAGGTAACAATGAGCCAATGAAGTAGTTTAAATCTTGAACAAGTTTAAAAGTATTAAATGAAAAAAATATTAAATATTAATTAACTAATAGGATAATGAGAAATGTAACAATTAACTAGTTTTATACTTTGAGTATTGAGAAAGGTAGCAATTAAGTAGTTTAAAAAGAAGCAAAATTAAAGTATTAAACGCAACAAGTGTTAAATATTAATTAACTAATAGGATAATGAGAAATGTAACAATTAACTAGTTTTATACTTTAATGAGAAATGTAACAATTAACAAATTAACTAATAGGGAAATGAAAAATGTATATATGAAGTAGATAATAAATATTAGTAATATAATATATGTATACTCCCTCCGTCCCATAATTATCTTCATTCTTTCCTTTTTGGTCCGTCCCAAATTTATCTCCTCTTTCCCTTTTTAGCAAAGGATTTGTGGTTCACAACCATTCTTACACATTTCTCTCTCATCTGCATAACTCTCCACCACACATTTCTCACTTTCTTAATCTCCGTGCCCAGTCAAAACCGAAGTTAATTCTGGGACGGAGGGAGTATATAACTAGATAATTAATACGTAAGTAGGATGAATTTAATGACTATGAATTCAAGTGTAACTAATACGGAGTATAATTGTATAAGTAATATATAATATAATGTTTATAGTATATAATATATAAGTATATTACTATAAGATGAGTAATACACTTATATTGAATACTTTAATATATATAAGTATATACATATATATATATATATATAAGTATATATTAACTAAATGTAATATGTAAATATAAGTACATAACAATAAGTATAGATAATAAGTAGATATCAAAGTAAATATTAAGAAGATAAAAAGTATATATGAAGTAGATAATAAATATTAGTAATATAATATATGTATATATAACTAGATAATTAATATATAAGTAGATATAATAATAATTATATATATATATATATATATATATATATATATATATATGTAGAGAGAATTGGAGAAGATGAAGATGGAGATGATTCAGTATTTGAGTATGAGAGAATAGAGAATTAGAGAGTAGGATTGTATGAAGATGGTGTAAAAAATGTATAGAAAATAGGAGTATAAATAGGATTTTTTGGTATCCCCCCAACCCCCGGACCCCCTACTAGGCCTCCAACGGCTATAGAGTCGTTTGGGAATAGTCCCAACGGCTAGGAGGGGCTGAATTATCCATTTTTTTTTTTTAAAAAAACTAGCCGTTATGGCCCGGACTGGGCCGGGCCGGGCCGGGCCGGTTCATCATTATTAGGACCCGAGCCCGCACCGCTATAAGACTGGGTCGGTTGGCCCGAACCGGCACCCAGACCGGTTCCTGGGCCGAGCCGGGTACAAACAGTACCGGTCCGGGCCGGTTGGCCCGGCCCGAGTCCACCCCTAGTTATGATGATAGAATGTTTCTGATCTTCGGTATTAAACGGAACAAGTATTAAATATTAATTAACTAATAGGATAATGAGAAATGTTATAATTAACTAGTTTTATACTTTAATGAGAAATGTAACAATTAACAAATTAACTAATAGGGAAATGAAAAATGTAACAATTAACTAGTTTATACTTTAATGATACATGTAACAATTAATAAAAAATGTAAGTAATAGAAAAAATGTATGAATGTGTATAATAATTAATGGGAGTGTGAGTGTATAAGTAAGTAGGATGAATTTAATGACTATGAATTCAAGTGTAACTAATATAATTGTATAACTAATATATAATATAATGTTTATAGGATATAATATATAAGTATATTACTATAAGATGAGTAATACACTTATATTTAATACTTTAATATATATATATATATATATATATATATATATATATATATATATATATAGAATAAAGATCAAATACAAACCATGTTTAATTTACAAAGTACAAACTTATCTTGGCCATCCGATGAGTTGATCTAAAGGATGTAAAGGCAAGGTGGCATTTTTGTAATAAAACCCAACTTTTCTAGGGTGCAACTCGTTGAACGTTAATGTGCAACTGCTATTTTATGACTATATAATGTGCAACACTTTGAACCTTAATATGCAATGCAAATAACGTCAATGTGCATCGTACAAACATTTGCACAATAAGCAGAATTTGTATTTGATCTTTCCCCTATATATATATATATATAAAAGTATATAAAAGTATATATTAACTAAATGTAATACGTTAATATAAGTAAATAACAATAAGTATAGATAATAAGTAGATATCAAAGTAAATATTAAGAAGATAATAAGTATATATGAAGTAGATAATAAATATTAGTAATATAATATATGTATATATAACTAGATAATTAATATATAAGTAGATATAATAATTATAAATAATATATATATGTAGAGAGAATTGGAGAAGATGAAGATGAAGATGATTGAGTATTTGAGTATGAGAGAATAGAGAGTAGGATTGTATGAAGATGGTGTAAAAAATGTATAGAAAATAGGCGTATTAATAGGATTTTTTGGTATCCCCCAACCCCCCGGACCCCCTCCTAGGCCTCCAACGGCTATAGAGTCGTTTGGGAATAGTCCCAACGGCTAGGAGGGGCTGAATAATCATTTTTTTTTAAAAAAAAACCTAGCCGTTATGGCCCGGACTGGGCCGGGCCGTGCCGGTTCATCATTATTAGGATCCGAGCCTGCACCGCTATAAGACCGGGTCGGTTGGCCCGAACCGGCACCCAGACCGGTTCCTGGGCCGAGCCGGGTACAAACAGTACCGGTCCGGGCCGGTTGGCCCGGCCCGAGTCCACCCCTAGTTATGATGGTAGAATGTTTCTGATCTTCTGTATTAAACGCAACAAGTATTAAATATTAATTAACTAATAGGATGATGAGAAATGTAACAATTAACAAATTATGTAATAGGGAAATGAAAAATGTAACAATTAACTAGTTTATACTTTAGTGATAAATATAACAATTAATAAAAAAATGTAAGTAATAGAAAAAATTTATGAATGTGTATAATAATTAATGGGAGTGTGAGTGTATAAGTAAGTAGGATGAATTTAATGACTATGAATTCAAGTGTAACTAATATAATTGTATAGCTAATATATAATATAATGTTTATAGTATATAATATATAAGTATATTACTAAAAGATGAGTAATACACTTATATTTAATACTTTAATATATATAAGTATATATTAACCAAATGTAATATGTAAATATAAGTAAATAACAATAAGTATAGATAATAAGTAGATATCAAAGTAAATATTTTTGAAAGGATAATAATTAATTGATATTAATGGAATCATGCGTCAAAACGTCCTGAATACAAAACGGAGGATTAAAAAACCAAACATGACCATCAGACATAGAAACGCCTTCTCTCGCTAGAGCGTGAGCAACACGATTCGCTGATCGTCTAGTAAAAGCAAATGAAATGCTGTGAAAATTTGTTGATAACTCTCTAATATCATCAATGATTATACCAAATTGGGAAGAATAATCATTCGACTTGATGGCCGATATAACCTGTGAAGCGTCAGACTCCTCATCAATGTTATCCCAGTTGTGATCCTTGACCCAACTTAACGCTTCACCGCCTTCACGTATGCTTAAAGCTTCGGCCTCCTTAGGCGAACATGCCCCAATCCATGGTTGAACTCCTCCTGCCACGAAAGAACCTTCTGCGTCTCTTAGAACCCACCCAAGACCACGTTTATTCCCTTGCGGAGCTGCTGCGTCGACATTCAACTTGAGACGAAGAAGATAATAAATATATTAAGAAGATAATAAATATTAGTAGTATAATATATGTATATGTAAGTAGATAATTAATATATAAGTAGATATAATAATAATTATATAAATAATATATATATATGTATAGAGAATTGGAGAAGATGAAGATGGAGATGATTGAGTATTTGAGTATGAGAGAATAGAGAATTAGAGAGTAGGATTGTATGAAGATGGTGTAAAAAATGTATAGAAAATAGGAGTATAAATAGGATTTTTTTGGTATCCCCAACCTCCCGGACCCCCCTCCTAGGCCTCCAACGGCTATAGAGTCGTTTGGGAATAGTCCCAACGGCTAGGAGGGGCTGAATTATCCAAAAAAAAATCAAAAAAACTAGCAGTTACGGCCCGGACCAGTTCATCATTATTAGGACCCGAGCCCGCACCACTATAAGACCGGGTCGGTTGGCCCAAACCGGCACCCAGACCGGTTCCTGGGCCGGGACGGGCACAAACAGTACCGGTTCGGGCCGGTTGGCCCAGCCCGAGTCCACCCCTAGTTATGATGGGAATGTTTCTGATCTTCGGTAATTTTCTTGTATATATGCAATTTATATGACACAATGTTTGTACTTTGTAGTATGATCTAGTCAAATTAAAACAAGGAAGATGAATCCGATGTACATTAGGGGTGGACCGGGCCCGGCTCAGTTCCGGGTCGGGCTTGGGTTTTCTGGGGTGAAGCCCGACACCAGCCCAGGAGGCTACCAGTACGAGGCCGTTTCAATTTTTTTTTAGTTTATCTTATTTATTCGGTTATTCCAACTTCCACCCACCAAACCCCGCCATAAGACCCACCTTGCCCACAAAAACCCAGCCCAAACCCAAAAAACCCAAAAAAAAAAAAGCCCGGACCGAGCCCGTATGGGCCGTATCGGCTGGTCCGGTCCCCAAATATGTAGTCCCGGACCCGCCCCCATAACCCCCCTGGATTGGGCCTAGACCCAATACCGGTACCGGTTTACCGGGCCGGTCCTGCACAGTGGCAGGCCGGTCGGACCGGACCCGGGCCAAGCCTAATGTACATTACTCTCCAAAAATATGAATACACAGAAATTGAAAAGGGTAGACTGTAGAGGAAATTCAAAAACTACAACCATAAATATGGCATCATAAATAAAAAAAATACTATTTCTTCAAGATACGTAGACGCCTAGACGGCTAGACGGTAGTGTGCAAATGTGCATTGAAGTTGAGATTAAAAGTAAATCTAAATAAAAAACATCAGTCATTGCAGAAGCTAGTCCAAACATAATGGTAAGAAAGACTACTGAGCTATTTACATCAATCGAGTGCTTCATACTAGGAAACAAAATGGAAGGAGATGATAAGTATTAACAATTGCAACTCAGAGTTAGAGAAGTCGTGTACAATTTCTCTCCAACTTCCATTCGCACCCTCAGATCGGGCTGCTCGGCACTTTCGGTAAGCCTTCAAATATATATATTCACATAAGACGGGGTCCACTCAGTCCACTTGCTTAGCAGTCTTGGTCACCTGTTCCCCCAGCGTAGCAATGGCATTAGGCAAAATCTGAGATTTGCATCTACTGAATCGGTAATTCTTTTTAAATGTTGAGTTTATTGCATAGTATCACGGACAATGGAGCCTTGGACCACGACTGTAATACGCTTGGCACTGTCTGATCGCGTGCTATTATCTCCTTTAGATCCAATCTGGATAGCAAATTCATACCCAAGGTACCAATAATAAATACGGAGGATATAAATAAATTACTCTCCCAATGGGTTCAGGTGCCAAGGAATATATGATGCAGGCGTTATAATGGAAACATTTGGGCTATGTTTGATTCTTGAAAAATGCTACCAGAAGAAAATATTAAGAGAAACTACTTTCTGAGTAACAAACAATGATTCAGTTTTTTAAATATTAAAGAAAATATTAAGAGAAAAATGCAAAGAAAAATGTAATCTGTAATGATTCAGTTTTTTACATATTTTTAGATTGCTCAAAATTTTATCACACAACTAAGTGAATCAGGAGTTTGAACAATAATATTTTCACCAACATTTTCTTTCCTTCTAAATTCCTCCTATAACTTCATCCTTATTTCTTTTCCCTAGCATTTTACGTGTTCCAAATGGACCTTAATGGTCTGTTTAAAGACAATAAATACTACAAAAAAAGAGGAAATTAGAGGAGAAATTCGAGAGGAGAGAAAGTGTGGCGGCAAGAAATTAAAAAATAGTCCACACTCAGTATCAATTTTGGATATTCAAATAGGGGTGAACATGGGCCAGCTCCTGCTTCTCTAACTGCTTTAACGGGATATTTGTTCAAGCAGTGCATTATGGTACCTGTTTAAATCCGGTTCTAGATCCAGGCAGTTCAGCACCAGACTTTTCAAAGAAAATATAAGATTGGGAAGTGGGAACATAAGCCGGAACAGCCCAGTCAAACTTGAAAGAGCTGGAACCGACCAGGATATGCCTATGCTGAACCAGCTAAGAGCAACGGTTTAAGTAAAAAGTAGGCGGGGTCCTGGTCTCATTCCTGACCTGAAACCTGGACTATGTCCCATCCCTAGAAAAGACTTCAAAATCTACATGTGTAAAATTTTAGTGTGTTTTAATCAAATTTGTTTTCCATTCATATTTTCATGTAAAACCTAACATATGAACTATTTTCCTTCACATTTTCCACTTCTCCTCTTCACATTTTCCACTTCTCCTACCTCTTTTCACATTCCAAACATAAATTGAAGAATTGACTATACTTAGAAACAGATTTCTACCTCGATAGGGATATCTGCAGAAAACCACCGCAGCAGAACTCCAAGATGCACTACAGCAGGAATCAGTTTGAACAATAAAGGGGTTGTTACCTGTATAATAACTAGACTTGTGACCAGAACTGTCATATATCCTCTTAAGTTCATACATATAATTGGAAGGACAAGGTTTATGTACCAGGCTAAGAGCTGTTGTACCCAGAAGAAGCATATACAATTTCCCCTGCAACCATATAAGTAATATGTTCACACATTAATTATTATACCTCTATTTTCACAAAGATGAGCAAATATGACAAGAATTTTTCCAAGGAATGGTGGTCAGCCAAAAATAAATAAATAAAAGTACCTCAACCAGATGAAAATTTGAAGCACGGCTCAGAAGAACAAACGCAAACTCCCCGATTTGTGCTAAAGACATTCCAACCTACAAATGAAGCAATGCACTCTTTAAACACACTGGAGCACCGAGCACTGTAGCTTTCACATTTTAATAAAAGGGGCAAGGAAAATGGCATCGATAGTGACACTTACAAGAAGTGAAGTCTTGTTGTTGTAACCAAAACACTTGACTACTATGGCAACCACGGCAGTTTTGAAGACAATTACCGAAATAACAGCTGCCAGTAAGATATCGATGTGACTCCATAGAAAGTGCACATGGATAAGCATCCCAATACTGGCTAAAAACAGAGCCGCAAAGAAGTTCCGAATTGGCTCTACCTACAAAAGATTCATGATGTCATAGTTACTAAATACATGTATCTTGGAAATGACTGATTATTCCAGGGGTTTTTGTAAGCATAAATGTGAAATTTGGAATGAAAACATTTGGTGGAAAATATCAAATTGGTTCAGGGTATCAGTTTTAGATATTAATTCGAACCCATTTTATTGGATATTTAAACTCAGTTTTTTTTCAAAACCATAATATCTACATATTTCTATTATATAAAGACAAAGATATACATTTTTAAAAATTCTAATCAGTTTTGATTTTACGATGTATTTGACTATTGTGCAAGGTAAAAACTAAATATAACAAATCATTTTCCTTGAGCGTCTTTCCTCTTCTCCCTACCATTTTCTAGGTCCAAACACAGCCCAAGGAAATGGAAAGGAATAACAGGAAAAGAAACCTGATCAAGTGTATGTTGAGCCAGATCAGTTGTTGATATCATCAATCCAGCAGCAAAAGATCCCAATTCAAGGCTGAGACCCAGCTTATCACTACACTGATGACCAAATCAAAACAAATCCTATTTTAAACATAACCCATCCATATTGTATTGAAACACTACACAAGACAAACATAAACTCTGAATAAATCATCTATTAAAGACTACTCAGCTTCAGCCATATTGTATTCAGCACACTTGTTCATACATCATGTGCAAAAATGTTATGTAAAGGACTAAGAAATACTAGTGGGAAAAGATACGAGATCCTAAAAAAATGGAAAACATTATGAAGTGATTATAAATAGGAATTGAGACAAACCCATGCAACAAGCAAGCAGAAAGCAACAGATGCTAGCTGATATAGTTCATGAGTCTGCAAATATTTCAGTAAAAATTGTCAAGCAATTTAATAGTTGTGCAGACCATTGGTCAATATATTAAGAAGATGAGGCATCACCTGTGATGATAGGCCTATCATCAGCCTAAGAAACCAAGGCACACATGTCCGGCAGAATATTGACAAAATGACTAAAAATGTTGCCAAAGTCATCAATCTGCAACCCGAAAAACAAGGTACATCATGGACCTAAGAAATTTGGTGACAGCACAGAATAAAAAAGAAACAGATGTTTTTTGTGTTTCATTTCTTTCAAAGGACTCATCAACTATATCTTACATTTTCGCCATGGACATCAACCCGGGAATAACACCAGAAGTACCACCCAGAATTGGAAGCAGTGCAAATAGCAAACCTACCATACAATCCTGACACACAAAAAAGTCTACTTCGTTTTTTCGTTTGATGTAAAAAAAATGTCAGCATTAAAATAACCAACACAAACAACTTTAGTCCACTTTATCGGTCAATTTCAGATTCGTCTCCTTATCCAGAATAGATAATAAGATAAATCAATAAAAGACTTGGAAGGAAAACTATCAAGGAAAGATAATGGTGGTTGTTTCATACCTGTAGAATAAGTGTTCCAATGGTAACTTGTCCGTATATGGTACTGATATTATTTCTTTCCATCAAAAATTTCAACACCTGTAAGTTCAGAAGTATATAATCCCTCAGTAGTCAGTATATTCATAACAAAAGTAACTATACAATAATACTTCCAAAAAACTAAACAAAGATTAGAAAGAGCACTCACAGATGAACTTAGAGAGTTACTAGATTATAGGGGCAATAAAATGGAGAATTAGTTTCAAATTTATTTTCTTCGAGAAAACTATGAAACCTTAAAGGATTTGAAACAGAAGTATTTTGGGATCCTTCTAGTATCAACTGAAAAGAAACAAAATTATTTCTTTTCTTTGCATTGTAAAATGAACACCAGACATGTAATTGACTGAGATATAGAACTACTCGTATTATAAATGCCATCGTTCTTCAGAAACAGTCGTCAATAATTTATAGGTTCAGTAATCAGCATATCACCAAACAAAATTGAGATTTATCCAACACCCATTCAGGGAAATTATATTTGACCATATCGCAAGGCCCAGTAGATTCATAAAGGAAAATGATAATATGAATAGTAAATCAATGAACTTGCCACTGCTGTTGAGGACATTGACAAGAAGACACCAACAAAAACACCCTCAGATGCTTCTCCGCCACACAACTGCAAGTATCAGTAAGCATCATTAGCATATCTGAAGGAATTAGAAACAAAAATACTGTAAATAATATTCAAACAATGTTTTGAGGAATGCAAAATAGCATAGAACGAACAGTAGCAATATTTGCTTAGCCTTCATTGAAACTTCACAAACAGATATAATGAGAAATAGAATAATATTACCAAGGCTGTTATTCCGCACAAACACATGAAGAGACATATCTGGAGTAACCCCCCTAACAAAGCAACAGCTCGAACAACACGAAGCTGCATGTAGAGAATCCTACATATTAATATATATATATATATATATATATATATATATATATATATATATATATATATAGGTTTTGGTTCAAATAAGAACACGATCTTATGAGAAAAATGAGAACGAATCTGGACCTTTAGATTTGCTTCAAGTGAAATTCAGTGTGCATTAGATAAAAATGTAATGTGCATTGGGTGAAATTGAAATGTGCATCACAAAGGGTACGATAGAGTGGCATTATGTGCAGTTGAATTGTGCATTACATGAAATTGAAATGTGCACTAGGTGAAGCTGAAATGTGCAATATAAAAAGTACGATGTGATGTTATTTTTGCACTTTTTTCCCGCACATATCAGTTTAATCTAATGCACACTTGAGTTTAAATTTTTATTTTGCACATTTCAATATCATTTAATGCACATTTAAGTTTCACCAAATGCACACTTTGGTTCCACATAATACAATCCAACGGTCCAGATTCGTTCTCATTTTTCTCCTAAGATTTGTTCTTACCGGAACCGCTCCCTATATATATATATATATATATATAATATATTGCAATTAGTGTCATAAATTTCATTGTGTGAAAACCAAAACTAACCTTTGCTGTGGAAAACTCTAATCCCAATGCAAAAAGAAGAAAAATGACGCCGAATTGGGCAACTGTTTCTACCTGAATTACAACATTATTATGCATTGGAAACATAATTGTGATGTAAAAAATGTTGTAGAAGAAAGTATAAATACACAAACAAGTGAACAACTAAAGCACTGGGGGAAAAGGCAGCTAAGTGGATACCGGGAAAAAAGTGATACTGGATATCTCAATACAAACAACATTGTACAATGTACATAGAGTTATATTCTCCCACTCATCCCAACAATAAACAAAACCCATGATAATTATGATTAATAGAGGTTTCACAAGTCATATACTAGACAGCACAATTCATATTTACCGTGAAGTTCAGTTCTATTATTTTTCCTAGCAACTATAAACAAAGATTGTTTTCTTAGCAACGGTAAATAACAAAAATATAATATACTATAATTATTTATAATTACATAAAAGACATACTTGAACCATTTCACTAACAAAGTTTAATCCTCCGGGTCCAATTATGGACCCAGCTAGCAAATACCCAGTGAAAACCTGCAGAAAGCATATAGAGCATTCTTATTAGACATAAAATGGTAATAATGAAATAATCAATTTCGCGAAAATGTAGCCACTCATTAACATGCAAAATTACAGTCACCCCCAACCACTTCCCACATCACGAAACCCACATACACAACCAGAGCTGAACAAGCAAGCATACTTCACATGTATGGATACCAAAAAACGCATAGAGATCATACCGGTTGTCCAGCACAAGCAAAGGCAATACCACCGCAAGTTGCAGATACAATAACAACAACAAGATCTGATATTAATCTGTCAGAAAAAATCAGATTGGCAGAAAAGTTACTACACATGGTAAGTAACTATTTATTGTTTCTTTTTTTTTTTCAGTCAGAGAGATTGAAAGGCTATGTATACTAACCTTAAATCTAGCTGCAAAACAGGAAATTTTGACTTCGGGTTGGACATGATAAAGACATTGTCCTGAGAAAACAATTCAACAATAAATTATGTCTAATACCATTTTAAAAATCTAGGGTCTATAATAATCTCTACCCACTTCCAGGAACAATTGTGAAAACAATACCACGGGGGGGGGGGGGGGGGCATATGCCATGTATGAATACGGGAGTACCTTTTGATCTATCAATGTTGGCGTATCATCTGCTCCATTGTCCTCCAAGTTGAAAACATCGTGCAGCTGAAATCCCCTTATACAAAATTTCCAAAGGCAGTCTATAGTTGGATCTTTTAGCTAAATAGCTTTCTTAGAAGACAAATATTCATATTCACAATAGTAGTAGAGGAGTAAACTAGTATCCTTTCAAAAGTTAGTAAGTTAGTACTGGTAGTAAACTAGTAACCATGTTCTGATAAGGGAAACTTGTTACTCCCTCCGTCCCAAGACTAAAGTCCTGCTTTCCTTTTCGGTCCGTCCCGAAATTATTGTCTCGTTTCTTTAACTTCCTTATTTGGTAAACAAAACAGTGTCAAACAGTGCCAAACAGTGTTGCTACAGTGTCAAACAGTGTCGCTACAGTATCATTTTCTTAATCTGTGTGAAAAACCAAACGAGACAATGGGTACGTTTGGAAAGCAGCGGATTAGCCAACCCGCTATTCCTTTTACTCTTAGAAACGCTGCAAAATGCAGCGGGTGGGTACCAATCCGCCGTAAAACAAACGAGGCCAATAATTTTGGGACGGAGGGAGTATATAAGAACAACGCCAAGATAGTAGTGCATACTTTTCTTCTTTTGTCTCATTCTTTTTTGACTTGACCCGAGCCACAGTTTCAAGGACTGCCTGAGATGATAAACCATTTTAGAAAACCTGGTTTAGTGAAATACACGTAGAAAATCTTGTGCATCACATGACAAAGCAGAACATAAAGAATAGATCCTATAAACCACATGACAGACCTGCTGCTCTGCAACACTATTGTTGAAGCTCCCCTGATCAACTGCTGATTGAAAAACATGTAAGTGGCTTATATTAAACCAAAATTAAAAGAATAAAAGTTAAAAGAAAAGTAGATAAATTTTGGGCAGAAATGGATATGCTATTTATGGAAATAAGGAGTAGTTCAGTTTATGTCAGAATTGAAATTTGTGAGCAAAAATACATTTCTTAGAATTTTGACCCGGAGACATCAAAGCAAGAGGTTACATTCGACGAACTTTTGAAATGAAACCACTCCCCCGGAAATACCAAACACCAATTTTCAGAATTCGGGAATGAGCTGTGCATGCAAATGATACGAATTCGTAAGAACTCTAACGATGACAAGGGAAATATCACGGCAATGCAGAAGGTGAAAATTTAACTGACCACTGGACTGGTCATTGGTCTCATTGAATTCCTTCTCCAGAGCTCGATCAATATAGCCCGCGAGGCTATCGTCGCCAGATCTCGCCTCCGAAGAAGTGTTGAATTCCACGCTCCCATTTAAAGCGTCGTTTCGTACTAGGAAGTCCGAATCTGTGGCGGAGAAAGCGATGAAGGAAGAGCAGAGGACAGCAAAGGCGGCGAAGAGGGCTCCCAGCATTCGCATTGCGAGAGAGACAGCGGCGAGAAGGGGAGATTTGCTTGACGCCGACAGTGGGTGCGGCGCCCTGCTAAAGGCAGCGACGCTACCGCCTTAGACGGCTTTACGGCAGCGATGGGGGAGGATGACGGTGGTGGTAGTTAGAGTAAAAGGACAAAAAGGTCCACGCGCCGATACTTTAATCGTCCGGAAATGCGCCCAAATTGTGAAGTGCCTACTTCCACAGTTTCTTCAGAAAGTGGGAAAATGTTATGCTGATGAGGTAGTTAAGCCATGTTTTGTAACTTTGTTCAACTAGTCAGTAGTCACTAGTCTTTCCGAGAACAAAATATGGGCGTCTAGTAGTGTAAAATATCGTCCATTTTTTTAAGAAGGGATAAGGGTCAGATAGGGCCTCGAACTCGAAAAAAAATGTCAAATAAGGTCATATTTCGGATGCTCTGTCTGGCCGACGCCATTTGGGGCGGTTCCCGATGGAATTTTTTGATGAAATTTTTTGAGCATCTTCCTCATTAAGTCTAGTTTACCCATACCAAATTTCAGCTAAAAACTCAACCGGGAAGGTAGTCAAATGAATTTTTGAAGATAACTGTGAAGTTAAACAACGCCGTACATTTCGGAAAATTATTTGACTACCTTCCCGGTTGAATTTTTAGCTGAAATTTGGTATGGGTAAACTAGACTTAATGAGGAAGATGCTCAAAAAATTTCATCAAAAAATTCCATCGGGAACCGCCCCAAATGGCGTCGGCCAGACAGAGCATCCGAAATATGACCTTATTTGACATTTTTTTTCGAGTTCGAGGCCCTATCTGACCCTTATCCCTTTTAAGAAAGAATGACGAGAATAAGACTTGTGGCTTTTGATTTGATAAAAATGGGACCAATTTTCGTTTAGGATAAAAAAGTGGCTAGAATGATATGAATTGTCCAGATTGCCCCTTAAATCCCTAAAACCCAATTCGCCTGCCTCACCCGTTTCCATCCTCGTTGAACTTCGACCTATCTGCGCCTTGGAGAGCCGCGCACGAGGAAGACAGACGACGATGCAGCGAGGGAGCTCTTCGAATATGGCGATGGAGATCTGGAATAAAGTTATTGAGCTATGCGAAGATGAAGACAATGGCAACCTCCATACGCATCTCGCCGTCATCTTCTTCGTTCGCACAAAAATATTCCGCAGATATCGCCGTCTTCTTCACCGATCGATCTCCTCCTTTTTTCTATTCAGACGTTTAGGGTTGTGGCGGCGGCGGTGGTGAATCGTCGGGTTTTGCGGTTGGATGTGGCGGTTGTAGGGGTAGGGTGGGCGAGTGGGGTACTGGGGAGGCTGGGGGAGGGGTTAGGGCTAGGAGGCTGTGCAGGGGATTGGGGGCTCGGGAGGGGATCAGGGGGCGGTTTAGGGACCGCGATACGGTGGCGGGGAGTGGCTGGCCGGAGCCTGGGGCTGGTTTGGTCATTGACGGAGAGGCTGTGGGCACTGGGGAGGCTGTCCACCGGAGAGGGCTGGGCGGCGGCAGATCACCTGCGCTGGTGGTCGTCGGCGGTGGCCGGAAATGAAGATCGCCGGCGGTGGCCCAAGGTGCTGGCCGCAGGTTGTGGCTGGAGTTGGTTGTCAGTGATGGTGGGGTAAACGTAATTGGTTGAGTAAGATATGTGTAACTCATCGGGTCGGGTAACTGTAAATGGTCGGCTCGGATAACTGTAACTAGTCGGGTCAGATAACAATAACCGGTTGGGTTAGGTAACTATAATTGGTTGGGTCGGGTAACTGGTTGAAACATGTAATTGTAACTGATTGGGCCGAGTCTGATTAGTTAATCGGTCAAAACATGTCATTGTAACTAGTCGGATGGGTAACTGGTCTCATCGGATGATTGTAACTGATCAAAACGAGTAATTGTAATTTGTCGGATCAGGTAATTGTAACTGGTCGGATGATTTTTGGATTTTTGGTCATAAATGATTTTTGGTCACTAATGATTTTGGTCACTGACGGATTTTTGGATTTTTTGTCACAAATGATTTTTGGTCACTGGGTGGATTGGTCATGGCCACTAGTCAGATTGGTCACTGGACGGGTTGACGTTGGTAACTAGGTAAAAAATTTTGTCACTAATGATTTTGGTCACTGACGGATTTTTGGAATATTGGTCACAAATGATTTTTGGTCACTGGGTGGATTGGTCATGGTCACTAGTCGGATTGGTCACTGGACGGGTTGACGTTGGTAACTAGGTAGAATTTTTTGTCAATAATGATTTTGGTCACTGACGGATTTTTGAATTTTTGGTCACAAATGATTTTTGGTCAGTGACGAATTTTGGTCACGATAATGGTTTTGGTCACTGTGGCGTTATTGTAGACTAATGGGTGAGATTCTATTAAAATAAGGGTATAATAGTCTCTTAACCCATTGTTAGTCTCATTTTTGGAAAATTGAAATAAAGGTCTCTTTTTTGTTCATAGCTCTTTTTTTAGTATTATTTTAGGGGAAAGTTTCCAAAATAGGACTAAAACAGTTTGGATATTCCAAAATAGGACTGTCATGTTTTTTATTCCCAAAATAGGAGTAATTACTGCCAAGTTTGCAAAATACTGCTATGTTTGAAGTCTGGTACTGCCAAAACATGACAGTAATTAGTCCTATTTTAGGAATAAAAACATGGAAGTCCTATTTTGGAATTTTCAAACCTTTTTAGTCCTATTTTGGGTAATATATCTTATTTTAGACATAACCCCTTTTTTTAAAGGTCCAAAAATTTATTATTTAAAAACAATTGCAAGAAAAATTGCACTGATATATAACAAAAAAAATAAAAAAATATATAATTGAGTTAATATGATCATAATGTCATTGTCAATTAAGTCTAAAAGTGAACATAGGTTATTATGACTAATGCTATCTTATACGGAGTAGTTTTTACATAGTTTATTTTACTCATAAATATATAATTATTTCTATTTATTTTTAAAAAATGTTCATTCTTATATATTTATTTTTTAACTAGTTTGAATTGTTTTTTTCTGGAGAATTCTTTCTAACCTATATAGTATCTGCTCAATGTTAATGCCAACATCCTTGAACTGAGATGAGATTCGAACATGTGACCTCCTCCTTGGGAGTGTCACAGTGATGTCATCAGACCACATGGTACTTGGCACTAGTTTGAATTGTTTTAGTATTTAAGTCTTCATTAATTTGATATTGAAATACGCTCAAATAAAACACATTTTTTATAATCTTATTGTATGAAATTGCGTTTTTATTTTGAGAGCATTTTAATACTTTTATGAATACACATGGTATACTCATAAAGTGATATAGCCTATGTAGAAGAATTGGACATTTTGAGTAAATCTAGCAAATTCAAATAGTTTCATATTTCATATTTCATTCTCTATACATTCTACATTTCATTCCTTAGTCTCCATCAATTTTGTTAAATTTAAAAGTTCTACAATGTATTTTTAAGCATCAAACATCACTTTTTAAAATACTAAATTTACATCCCAATATTCATTGGGTCTCTATGTTAAATGTTGTTTTGCATAATTTTGACACCCTTTGGTGGCTTTAACTGAAGTTTTTAGTTTTTGAAAAATATATATATCCAAATTTTCAAAAACAAAATTGCCATGGCTTATTTTGTTGGCCCCCTAGCTATTACTACATCACCAAACATTATTTTACCACGAATAATAATGTTAAGTTAGGAAGAAATACATTGTTTTATAATGTTAATATAATGTTTCTTTTTCATTATTAGAGTACTCCATATTTTTAATTTTTTATTAGAGTGTATATATATATATATATATATATATATATATATATATATATATATATATATATATATATATATATATATATATATACAGATAGATAGATCGAAGACATTATTAGCATTGTTCTTTTCACTCTAGAAGCAAAGTAAAGTCTTTTTTATTATCTCTTCTCAAAGTTAGCATTTCCTTCAACTTATGTTTTAGTATAAATATTAGGGAGTATGTTTTAGGGTCTGTTTGCAACAGCTTATGCTTTTAAAAAAGTTCTTTTTAAAATGAAATGGGGAGAAATGATTAAATAAAAGTTGATAGTGTTTGAGAAAAAAGTGATTTTGAAAAGTAAAAGTGGGTAGTGTTTGGTAAAATAAGTGATTTTTGTGTAATAGAAAAAATAAAAGCACTTTTGACGCGGAAGCCGAGAAAAATAAAAGTTGTAGTGTTTGGGAAAATAAGTGCTTTTTAAAAGCCAAAAGCTGAAAAGTGCTTTTTTAAAAGCAGTTGCAAACCAACCCTTAGTATAAATTTTCCTACACTCGAAGCCGCATAACTTTTTACGTGTTATGAGAATCAAACCTCACGTACTATTGAGTCATTGTTATCATAATCACTGAAACTTTCTCATTCACGACCATGATCGTGATCTTAGTTAAACTTGAGTGAGTTTCAACCCTCATTACTCCAGACCCCCTGGAGTAAAAAACAAAAAAAAAGTATATCACCATGGCCTTATTATATGCCATGCTTCGATTTGATCATGTTATTTGATAATTTCTTTTTATTCAAATTTACCAATCCAAAACCCGAAAAAATAGATGAATTATCAATCTACGACTTGAAATATGAAGTGTATCACTACATGACCCAAATGATTGAAAACTATCAATTTAAGACCTAAATTGTCAAGATTTTTTATTTTAATTTTTTTAAATATTATTTAATTTTATTAAACTAATAAGCTTCTATGAAGAAAAGGTCATCAAAAATTAGCAACAAAAACATCCAAGTCTTAATCCCAAAAGAATTTGGGGTCGAATAACGTGAATCGATCAGTGCGAAAAAGAGAAGAAAGATAAAGGCAAAAAAGGTAAAATAAAATGGATAAGATAAAAATAAATATAATAAAATTAAAAGATAAAAAGATAGATCATAAAAAGATAGAAGGTAAAAATAACATAAGATCAAAAATAGATAGTGAAGATAAACTATAAAAGAAAAAGAGAGGAAAAGATAGAAAAGATTAGATATCACTCGTTCACAAGAATGCGTGCCCTCCACTTTGCTGTCTCCAAAACATACTCTTATCCAACCCACGAAGACGCATATCAGTTCTGATTTCTCTAATCCAAGTTTGTGTGGGTCTTCCTCTTCTTCCTGCCTCTTCTCCCCACCTCTCAAGTCGTCTAACATGTACATCATTTGACCTTCTACGCACATGACCAAACCACCCCAAACGAGACTCCCGCATCTTATCTTTTATAGGTGCTACTACCCCTTTTGTCTGTTTATCTCATTTCTCAAGCAATCTTTTGTGGTTATATTTCGATTCGTGTCATGTGATGAGACAAAGTGATACTACCATGGTACCACAACATCATAGTTCTTTTCTGGTGCTACTATCACAACACTCTTCTCCTTTATCCTGACTTGGGACAAATATGATACCCAAAATGATCTCATGGAGGAGTTAACACATGTAGAATTTTAGATCTTTGATTGATATTTTCACTCATTCAGGTTCTAAACTGACACATTTCATCTTTCAAATCTCAGATTGATAGTTCATCTTTCTTTTTATTCTTGGATTGATAAATTTTATTTTATTTTATCTAATCTTAATACATTTCAATTTTACCTATAAGTTCACCACCACCGATGATCATGTTTTAAAATCTAATTAGATTCATCCATGGTCAAAACTTTGAATACAAATGCTACTTATTCAATGATCCCATCGCCTAATTTTCATCATTATGTTTAACTGATTAATAATCATCCTCTCTACTATTGAGATGTAACCACTCTAAAATGATAAGGACTAGGAATATCATGTTCAAATTTTAGGCGAGACCAAGTTGCCTCCCGATTAAAAGTGCTTGTATATAATTAGTCTTTCTTAATGATAGAGAATTATGTAAACTTGCAGAGGTTCATCCAACATAATTATAAACGGAATCTTACATTAACAAATGTATATTTTGCATACATGCATTTTCAAGTATCACAGCACATGTAGCAGCTAATAAATTTGAGAACTTAAAATACGTAGCATAATTGGTAAGAAAAGTACACGTATCTTGCATAATGCATAATAGAGTCACATATCGCTCCTTAAAATTACTCGGTGTATGCCTCCCAAAAAGTAACAAGCACTGAGGGCTAGACTAGTCTAATGAGGAATAAATTTTTTTTATTATATCCTAAATTAGGATTACTAACTTTGAGAGTTTTATGCGGTTGTGTGAGAGATTTTTTTTATTTCACATCTTGAGTGTTGATCACCACTCTTGGTGAACTTTGGGATGTTCTAAATCACTAAGTGGTTAAGATTTAATTATAACTCATAACCTTACACCCTGACTCTCAACTCATTTCACGAAAGTGATTGGTGTTAATGAGCTATCTGTGTTGCTTGAGCATTCTATGAGACTTAATCATGACCAAGGTTGTGGAGTCAATCTCTCAACACTCTGCTTCATTATTAAGTATGAAAATGGCTTGGAGATCCTTTACTCTTAAACTCTCTCTTATGAATTTCATCAAAATGTGATGCCCCAAGCCATATTTTTCTTGATTTTAATCAATTTCTCTCATTCAATCTTACATGTTTCCAAACAAATCCCAAAATGGATCGACTTTGCTTCTATCACATAGTTAAAATTTAGAGGTCTCTTGATGTTATTATATTTTGACTGTTCTCTAGCACCGCATCCATTATTGCTCTCTACCCAAAGACTAAATTAGGACTAATATATACATTATGAAAATGCATAATGTATTTTTTATTTTTTTCATTACATTTTGTGTGTTGTAATTAATGATGTTCCACCCAAGCTTTTACTTTTTTTTTTGTTAAAAGTTCAAAATATTGATTTCAAAATAAAACTTACGTGTGCATATACATGCACTATAAAATAGTACTACATTCGCTGATTCGCCATACTTAATTTTTAAGTTAACATTAATATTTAGATTTTAGCTATTTAAGAAAATTGAAAGGCAAAATCATTTTAAGAAAATATGTTAACTTGATGTATAATAAAAATGGCAAAATTAACAGGAACAGAGAGAGTAGTTTAAGAATATTTTTAGTTGAACTGTAATTTTGACCTGGTCAGAAGTGATCTAGTCTGCTAGAGGTATGTTCCATGTGTATTTCATGCCACAAGTGTCAAAGTCTGATGTGATTTAATTAGTTTAGGCTGGGATTGAAGTGGTTTGAAACAATAATGAATTATTATTATTTTGTAAAAAAACATATATAGTTTGTATCCTTTTAAAGCACAATAAATTGATTTATTACTATTTTAATTTTATTTATAGTCTTATTTTAACTTTTCAAAATCAATAAGGACCAATAAGTATTTTTTAAAATTACTATTTCATTTACAATTTCAGTCCATGAAGTATTATGGATAATTTTGCTAAAGTAAAAAAAAAAACCAAGATTTTTCTCTTCAAGTATGAGTACAACTGAAACAAGATATTTTTGGGCAAGTCATATTTCAACTTTTTGTTAAATACATGACGATACCCTATGGTAAAAAAAAAACTTGAACGATATAAGGAGAATATTAACAAAACCTTAACAACACCTCCTCTGTTATTATAATAATAAAGTTAAAAAAACAAAGTTAACGAAGAGATTTGTGCAAGTATGGTAAACAAAGTAATTACTGCACGCTCTGAATTTCAATCTTAGGTAATTGAATTTAATCGTCCTATTTTATTATTAGTTACAAATATTAACAAATTCATTGCACAAAAACATCTTAGCCATCAAGTATGAAGTATCCACCCATAAAGGCCTCCCAAACGAGAGTCTCTTGGATCGACAATATGAACTACAGAGAAAATCTAGAAAGGGAGCAAATGTCTTACTGGTATTTATTTGAGAGAAAGCGAAGTATGAAGAGGCTGTAACCATTACAAATGCATACAAGGAAATAATCTGGTGCACTGCAAAGGATATGGCGGCAATGCCATTAAGAAAATCTGGCCTAGGTTGACTCATCCTAAGGCTGACTTAGCATAAGAAGACCTGCTAGCTAGCTTTGAGTCATCAAATATAGCATTGACGAGTGCCTGATCATTAATGCATTCTTTGAGAAGTATGAAGAGGCCAGTGCTATAGCTACTAGCTAGGCCAGAAAATTCTATTTCTCTTGATGAAATTAGCTAGCTAGCTAGTTATATAGAGCTTCAGATATAGTCTTCACAGAAAATCCCATCCCCACGCGAGGAGAATATCTACTGTCCACCTTTTTGGGTTGTTTGCTTTCTTGAATAAACGACATACATAGGGTCTGAGCGCCCGGGGTTTGGAGAAATATCCACAGCCTAACATCAAAATGAACATGCATATCATTTTTGTAGCTAGAAGCAAACCGATTTCTAACATCCATCATTTGCAATGCAGCCAAAGACTAACTATTTTTTGGCTTGGGAAAATGATGGAATAAAGCAAAATGGCTCACTAAATTGTCAATGCTTCTTTGTTATGAAGCAGCAATCAGTCTACAATTTTCGACGCGATTTTCACTATGGGTGATCCGGAATCAGTCTCTCAAAGTACAGAGGTAAGGCTGTGTACATCCGATCCCCCCTACCCCACCGTAGGTGGGACTGTGGGAGCTTTTGCGGCACTGGGGTAACGATGATGAAGATGAACTATTATAAATATGCCATGTTGAATATAATATTCCAACGGCAAAGTCTATGCAAGTAATGTAACAAAGCAGCAATGGAGCCACATTAGGATATGTGGTGGTCCAAAGATTACTGTTTCACGTGTGATTGTTTGAAATATCATCATCATCATCACCCTAGTGTCGTAAAGGCTCCCACCTACAGTGGAGTAAGGGGGTCGGATGTTCGCAGTCTTACCCCTGAACTAAAGCACAGAGACACTGTTCCGGATGACCCATGGTGAAAATCACATCGAAATTGCATGAAATGATTGTTGCTTCATGATAAAGAAGCACAAACAGTTTAGTGAGCCATTTTGTTTTATTCCACCATATTCCCAAGAAAAAATAATGAATTTTTTGCTCCATTGCAAATGATGGGAAATACTCCGTAATTGTTTGATATATGATGAAATATATTGCTTTGAGGGTCTCGTTTTCAGTGATGAAATTAATTTGTTATGGTGGTTTTGTGCTATGGTTTTTTGCATATGGTGGTTTTGTCACTGGTGATTTGTGATAAACTCGGGATTTTTATGTGACTAAACTCGCCATTATTAATATAATTTTTCTAACCGTAATGATTGTAGAATACTTGCACAGATTTTGGAATACTATTGTTACCCTGCAACTTGAAGTATTCAGATTACAAGCTCATACCAAACGCTGCAAAATTACTTTTACATAAAACGCCTTTATTATGAAAAACATTTCCAGTTAGAAGTAAATAACAAAACCTAATAACATTCTTGCTTTTGAACCACCATATAAAATTATAAACTACTTCTTCCTTAAACATAAATTACATCAGGATATTCCTAACCATTGGCATTATGCAAACAATTATTATTTATAAGTATATGTCTCATGAACATCAAAGGTGAATCAACACAGAAAGCTTTGCAAAAATATTAGAAAATTTACCTCAGGGGGCTCAAACCCTCCGGCATAATGAAAGTACGAGCCTACTATCATTACATGATCATCATCTCCTGTTGATGTCCATATTGATATTGCCTTGGTCCAAAAGCATCGATTTGAGAAACTAACAAACATTTAGAGTCCCAGTGTAGACATGAGATTGCCCCCTTAGTTAATGGAACTATAAGTCTATAAGATATAGTAAAACATATATTCACATCCATATAAGAAGAAAAGTCGCTTCTTGGATTAGTGACTATTAAGGGTCAACATATCTAACCTCATAGGTGCCTTATATATACGGAGTAATATTAAAATTTTATTACTGTGCGGTGACTTAGGAATGACAGGGCGATAGTTTGCTACCTTATAATCGCAACTCCCCCAGGTTTAAGAACGCGAGACATCTCTTTGAAAACAACAATAGGCTTTGTTAGATAATCAACACTAACCTGCATGGTATCCATTATTATTTATAGTAATCTTAAACAATGCACCAAAACAAATCATTTAGAGAGTAAAAAAAACCACTTGTGTTACACAACTAACATTGCTTAGGCTAAGTCGGTAACCTATATTCTATATAAAAGAAACATTGTGCCTATCAAGCTTCTAAAATGGTCATACCATGTTGGTAATGGCATCAAAAGTGTTGTCTTCAAATGGGAGTTTGGGATTGATGTTCAAATCTTGCACCACATAATCTGTTAGCACCTGCAGGTTTGACCCCGTTTGACATGTATTCATGTGAGAACACTCTTTATCTTATGAAAAAGATACTCCATGTATAAATCTTTCAGAGTTCAGAGTTCAGACTATGCTATACCAATAAATCAAAGCTTAAAAGACCACTAAATTATATTACAATGATACTATTTTAATGAATTCCTCATCTACAATTCTCATTCTCATTCCACAATATGATCCCCAAACTCCCACCCCACATACCAAACAGTGATAACTAATTAACTTACTGGATTTCGCCTTAGCTCTTCTGCATTCATGCCCAATCCAATAATGCTTGTTTGCTTATATCCTGCAGGGTAGTGACTGACCTATATAAACAAAAGAACAGGTGCAGGTTTGAGATCAACTAAATCAACTGTTTTAACATGACAACATTCTGCATGCGTGGGGTGGCGGTGGGGCAAAAAGGCAAAAAGCAAAAGAAAAATCTCTGTACTCTGCCGTACCCAACTGCTACACATATCCAAGATTGCTACTCCTGGGGAATTAGTATGAGGTAAAGCCTGGGAGTAATATCTAGTAAGTGCAGCAATGGCAGGATCATCAATATGTGTCACCAAACGAGGCATTTCATAGAACAACGAATCCTTTGACCTGGAAATTTCAATGTGGTTAAACCGTTAAAGTTTAAAAAAAAGGGGAAAATGGAAATTAATAATCCAACCTTTTAGCGGGCTTTTTTTAATAGTCCGACCTTTTCGTTATTCATGAATAATCCAACCTTTGCACCTCATCTTCATTCATTGGTCCCCGACCGGTTGATGACCTGCTATTCCGAGTGATTTTCTTATCTCTGCAAACTATTATACCATAAATTCCACCTTTCACAAAGATAATATTTTGCAAAGATAAGAAAATAACTTGGAATAACAGGTCATCAACCGGTCGGGGACCAGTGAATGAAGATGAGGTGCAAAGGTTGGATTATTCATGAATAACGAAAAGGTGGGACTATTAAAAGAAGACCGCTAAAAGGTTGGATTTTTAGTTTCCATTTTCCCTAAAAAAAAATGGACCTAATAAGAAATTTATTTGACCTGATTATTATAATACTCCGTACCAAAAATGAAATTTATTTGAATGGTCATAAGAAAACAAGTTTGGGCAAATTAAAGAGACAAAATTGGATATACATTGCAGATGAGAAATTTTGAGGATTAACTCATCAAACCGCTGGAAATCATCTTCCTTGAAAGGGAACTGTTCAGGCCAACTGACATTCTTCAGCACCTTTAAATTAATATCAATAATATCCATATCAAATTAATAATGAATTAATAGAGGTTGAGAAAAGGAATTAGGATTACGACTTTACCTCCTGAATTGCACCCTTTTTGTGTGAAGAAGAAGCGGCCAAGAAAGATTTCCCTCCGAAATTGGCAGACATGAAGACACCTGTTCCGAACACCACCGCCCTACGACTAGTCTTGAACCCAAAGCAGCGGCCTCTTCTTCTACGAATAACTAGTGGTGGTGATGTCCGACGAGCAGAAGGACAGACTGAAATGGCGGTTGTCGCAGGTAAGGGTATTGAAGGACGAAGACCGACCCAACTTGGTATCTGGCTTTGTAATCTCAGACCAAATTGCTTCCCCATATTTGGAATGCTCATGCTCTGTGCGGTAGCTACTGTGGGTGGCTAATTGAGAGCATTTGCCGCTTTGGAACATTTATTCGCGGTGAGTGTTACAGTGACGTTGCAGAATCTCATTGGGTTCACATGAGGCCCAGGAGGTGTTTACTTCACTGCTAAAGTCACAGTTAGGTTAGTAAGACAGGTGAAGTAAACACGCACACTGCTTAAAAAGCCGCTTACTAACCGAAAGAGGTGCTTAAAGTGCCGCTTATTAAGTATACCACCCCCCCATGTATTAATTAAGCGGCACTTTAAGCTTTTTCAGTTTCCGAATTTACCCCTTGCCCTTAACCTATTGTTATCCCTGCCCCACCTCGACCCCGACTCCACCCTACCCCGACCCCACTCTACCCCGACCCCCACCCTCCCTACCCTTACCCCACCTACCCTGACCCTACCCCCCGACCCCACCCCACCCCGACCCCACCCCGACCCCACCTACCCTACCCCACCCCGACCCCACCCCTACCCTACCTAACCGACCCCCACCATACCCTTACCTACCCCGACCCTACCCCTACCTACCCGACCCCCTACCACTACCCCCAACCCCACCCTACCCCGACTACCCTTACCCCACCTACCCTGACCCTACCCCCGACCCCACCCCACCTACCCTACCCCACCCCGACCCCTAACCGACCCCCACCATACCCTTACCTACCCCGACCCTACCCCTACCTACCCGACCCCCCTACCACTACCCCGACCCCACCCTACCCCTACCTTACCTGTCCGACCCCCACCCTACACGTACCCCCCCACCCTACCCCATTACCAGACACCCCCTACCCTACCTAACTGACCCCCACCCTACCCTTACCCCACCTACACTACCCTTACCCCGACCCCACCCTTACCCCACCTTACCCCTACCCTTACCCTGACCCAACCCAACCCTACCCCGTCCTACCCCTACCCGACCCCACCCTACCACTACCCTACCTACCCAATCCCCCCTACCCTACTTACCCGACCACACACCTACCCTAGCTTACCCTACCTACCCCACCCCTTACCACATACCCGACCCCACCCTACCCTATCCGACCCTACCCCTACCCTACCCCGCCTCAACCCCCACCCTACCTACCCGAACCCACCCTACCACTACCCGGGTTGGGTAGGGTAGGGGTAGGGGCGGGGTTGGGGTAAGGTGGGGTCGGGGTGGGGTCGATGTGGTAAGGGCCTATGGGGGTAGGGGCCTATGGGGTCGGGGTAGGGTTGTGGTAGGGTGGGGACAGGTTAGGGTGGGGTCGGGTAGGGGTAGGGTCGGGTAGGTAGGATGGGGTCAGGTAGGTAGGGTAGGGGTAGGGGTAGGCGGTGGGTGGGGTCGGGGTAAGGTAGGGTGGGTAAGGGGTTAGGGGTATGGGTACACATATTATATTATATACTTGTGTTCATGAATGTTTGTGTGTATATATATGTATAGGGTTATTTTGGACATTTTAATGTTAAGCGGTGTTTTAAACCGTTTGAAGTAAACACGGTCTTACAACATTGTTTATTTTATGCGCCGCTTATTAACACGGGTCTTAATAAGCACCGTTTAATAACCGGTGAAGTAAACATGTCCCTAGTTAGGATTAGGATAAAAAGGACTTTAACTTTAGGGTTTAGGGTTAAAGGGTCAAATAAGAGGTTCTGCCCAGCCGTCACTAATTGGGGCAGTTCCCAGTGGAATTTTTTTATGAGATTTTTTGAGCATCTTATTCATTAAGTCTAGTTTACCCATATCAAATTTCAGCTAAAAATTCAATCGGGAAAGCAGTCAAATAATTTTCTGAAATGTACTGCGATGTTTAACTTTGCAGTTATCTTCAAAAAATCATTTGACTGCCTTCCCGGTTGAATTTTTGGATGAAATTTGGTATGAGTAAACTAGACTTAATGACAAACATGCTCAAAAATTTTCATCAAAAAATTCCACCAGGAACCGCCCCAATTGGCGACGGCCGGTCAGAACCTCCTATATAAGCGGCTAATTGAACACTTTAAGTCAGTTCAGGGACCTATTTGACCCTTTAGCCTTAACTTTATTATTCCCTAAATAGGACTCCAGATTACTTTTTGCCCCTATATCGTTAAACCTACCCAGCTCCCTCTTCTCCGATTACATTCCTTAGCCGATTGAATATCGTTCCTCCACCTGCGATTAAAATCCTTTTCGCCTCTGCTGCAAAATAGCTCCTCCGCCATCAATTGGAGCCGCAATCCCGCCGACGCCAACGGCCCGCGTCAATTTCTCCGGCGAAGACAGGTAATCCTCCTCCTCCTCCCCCCTCCCTCCCCTCCTCCTCCTCCGCCCCCCCCCTCCTCCTCCAATTCTTCTTCTTCATTCTTCTTCTCATCCTCTTCCTAAGTTCCTAGTGCTCTGTTTTTTTCTTTAATTATCTTGATTTATGTTAATTTTTTGTTTACTTTTTTGGTTAAATTAAATCAGTTTTCTGATTTGTGAACATTTAGATGAAAAATTAGGTTGCAATGCTCCATCTATTGTGGATTTCAGTTTTATTTATTTATTTACCAATTTTGATTAATTATGAATCTGACAAAATTACTAGTACTTAATAAGAAAAATGTCGCTTTTATGGGATTACATTTATAAAGATGACATTATTACTTTGAAATTACAAAAATGCCATGTTTTTGCCAGTTTCACAAAAATGTCACTCTTTGAATCGCAAAATGTCATATAACATTTCCAAATACTCTAATGACATAAAAGTGACATTTTTATAAAATAACCAATAATGACACAATAATGTCAATTTCGTATAGAAACATGACATTCTCAATATGACATTTCCAAATATTGTAATGACATAAAAGTGACAATTTTTAAAAATACCCAATAATTATGACATTCTCTTATTTAAAAAGTGACAGTTTCTGGAATCATTAGTCAGGGCATTTTGAGATTCAAATTAATCAAAATTGATAACAAGAATTTCAAGTTCTGATATATCTTCATTTGAAACTTTCAAAATTCAAAATTTTATTTAAAATTTGATTGATAAAAAATTAAAAAAATACATAGAACTGGGAAGAAGAAGATGAAGAAGAAAAAGCAGAGAACTAGGAAGAAGAAGAAGAAGAAGATGAAGAAGAAAAAGAAGAGGAAGAAGAAGAGCAGAAGAAAAAGATGAAGAAACTTACCTGGGCAAAGACGGCGTCCAGCGTTAGCGACGCACCTAGCGAATCGATGCAGCAGGAACTAAGAGGGCTATTTTGTCCAAATACAAATAATTAGTCCTATTAAGGGGAATTTAAAACATTATGTCCTATTTTTGCCATTCAACCTTCTTTTAGTCCTATTTAGGAAAATCTCTCTGGGATAAATTTTGCGGAGTAGTATTCTACCTGAAGTTGGGGTGGGAAAACACATAAATTTCTGCCGCATTTACCATATTGGTTTTACGGAATTGTTTGGTACACCGACAGTGTGATCAATATCGAATTATTTGGTATAGGGGTGAGTTCGGTTCAAACGGTTCGGTTTTCACTTAAAATCAAATGCTGAACCAAAGTAAAAAATTCGGTTTAGTTAGGTTCGGTTTTATGTTCAAAAATTTGGAACCAAGGTTTGTTCGGTTCGGTTTCGGGTTTTTCGGTTTTTACCAAAGTATTTTTGTTCATTAGAAAAATAGTAATTGGAAAACAAAAACAAAAAATAAACTACACCAAACTATTATTAATAGTAATACAATACAAATACATACATAAAAAAAACAAATTCACTTTCAAGCAATGAATTAGAGAGTATGTGTATACCAATTTAAACATTTTCTGAATTAATTAAACGCATGAGTTTATTTGTGAATTATGTACAAAGTATTCACAAGTTAAAATTTTATTAGTAAATAACTTAATCTACTTTTTTTAACCAAATATATTTAAGCTCTAAGGTTTCACATTTTCTGCTATGTTGTTTAAAGTATAGTTTATATTAATACATACTTGCTCAATATAAAAATTTATGTGATAAGAAACATACATAACATATAATATATCAACAAAGTATCATTGTCATGCAACAACAAGCAAAATGTAAATTACGATTTAAAATACTAAAATATTAGTATTACAAGAATAGACTTAAGTTTATGCACAAGTGTTTCACTTAATTAAGAAACAAATATTAAATGTCAATATCTTGTAATCATATAAAATCTAGTATCAAACATTAATTTTCTAGAATTAAGAATTAAGAATTAAACAAAATATTATACCTAATGATTAATAAATAAAGTAATAACTTTTAGAAAGTTCGGTTTATTCGGTTCGGTTCGGTTTTGAGATGTGAAAACCAAAATTGAAACCAAACATTTACGGTTCGGTTCAGTTTTTTGAGTTCGGTTTCGGTTTTCTTGCGGTTCGGTTGTTTTGGTTACGATTCAGATTTTTTGGATTCGGTTTTCGGTTTTTGGTTTCTCCGACCCACCTCTACTTTGGTATGATATCTGTATATCTCAATGATTTTGAAAATAAACGTTATACCGATATACCGTCATACCGAAAAGTACAAATCAATAATTTCTTCAAAATTATATAAATGACTAGAAACGTAAAATTAACTCAATGATAAATGACGTTATATTTTTTTGTACTCCCTCCGTCCCTAAATAAGTCTCTGTTTGACTGATGGAACTAAATCCACCGGAAAATAATACTCCGTAATAGATAGTCGAAAATAATTAAAGCATTCAAAATAATACTTAGAGAGATAAATGTATGTAGTGTATTCAGTGTCTTGAGTTTGCCATTCTTTCAAGAGTTACATGAATTTATAATACAAAATTGGGACAAGAAATATTCGGGCGACGTGGTCGCCATGCCTGAATTGGCGTGCCACCATTCTGTGATTCGTGGGACTGATCATGAGTTGACATGTGATCTTCGAGATTTGTTGCTGGTCACGTAGCTTCCTAGAAGTAGCATCATGCATGTGCAATGCTGAAAGCGGTTGTGCATCACGCGTGTAAAGGCGCGCCATGTCTTGGTGAGAGTAACTGTACCGATATTTCAGTATACCGAAACAAGGCATACTAAAATTTCGGTAAGATAATGGTAT